TTACTTAGAAAGTATATAGTTAAAATTAATATTTAAGATTTTATTTTAAAAATAATGCTTTTAAAAAAATTTCAGGGCAAATTTGCAGGAGAAACGGTTTAAGAGATAATAAAATAATTTAAATCATCTGCCATCCCTACTCTGCAAGTGCCGGCATGTACCCTATTAAAACATAGTGCTGGGCATGGGCAGGGGTACTATGTTTATTAGTATGTGTGCCGGGACTTGCAGGGCCCTACCATATACATCGTAGATTTATACGTATATAATTAGTAAATTGGGTTTCTGCCTTTTTTTGATCCACAATGAAAAGGAATTGACTCTTCTCTATAAAAAAATCTCTTGAAAACATTCTGGAATTATCTAATTTTTTAAACCTCAGCTTTTCAAGAAAGTACCACTCTTCACTCACTAGACCCAATTCGTACATACAAATATTAACCACTCTTAATCTCAGTAACTGCTGTTTCGGATCTCAAAACATTACAAACAAAATCGTCTGATCCCTGCACAATAACCATACTTTAAAACACATCGATCTAAGTAGAAATTGGATTACTTACAGCGGCGGCAACGCAATTCTAAATGCTTTATGTGAAAATATCTTCTAGCGTATCTGGATCTCACAGAAAACAAGCTCAATGACAACAATTGCGTCGTGCTAGCATAAATTCTTCACGAGAATAGTTCCTTTGTCTCCAATCCGCTTAGAGTAAACAAAAGCTTACAATTTCTAAGTCTTCGCATAAACAACTTTTCAGTTACCACCGTCGAATCATTCTTTGAGAGCCTCATACCATTCTAAACCAATTAGATCTTTCATACATCCTTGATGATAACCAAATTATCTTAATCCAAAAAGAAGAATGTACTCTCTAATCCTCTCCCGAATTCTCAAATGTTTTTGCGAGCAGAATTGTAGAAAGTTGAACGTGTGGGTAATATTCCTCATAATGACAGTTTTGGTTTCGCTGATGGTTTTGATATTGTCCATATTTTAATTACTGATTTGATTGATAAAAATTCTGCAAAAAGAGAAGCTAAAGCGTTACGATACATTTATAGTGATCATTTGATATGTATATTAAAAATACTCATGTATATTCAAGTAACCCGCTTGTTAAGTGGCTGGAAGGTAACGAGTCTTTCAAATGCTGGAACAGACTTTGCTACATCAAGAGTTGTAACTCAACATTACAATTGGGAAGAGTACAGATAATCGGGAATTTTGATTTTTCTAATGATGTTACTTTTTTTATTCATTCTTAAAGGGAAGTTATTATTATCTTATTTCTTTATTTTTTTTTATATTGCTTGAAATGTATCTTAGAAGCACCAATGCAAACATGATTACGTGAAATATTATCAGAATATGAGATTGATGTGGTTTAGAAGTGCAATGATAAACTATTATTTATAATATAAACTGAATAGTTTATTTTAAAATTATAGTTAACTACAGTTTAACTACAGTTTTGAGTAACTATTGTAATGTGATTTTATACATTTATATTTTTATGCGATTCAATTATTTAAAAATAATTTTGGTCGAATTAATCATTTGATAATGACTTGTATCTGGCATTTCAAACCTAGTCTTACATTTACTATGCATAATTGTCGATTTTTGACACTTTCAAAATGCCTCGCCAGGGTTATTTTTTGAACCTCAAAAATAATGTTACGACAAAGATTCTTCGTTCAGACAAACAAGATCCCAAGGAGTTAAGAACCTTAATCAACAAATTAATTGACCAACGTCAAGCATTCATATTACGCCAATTAAATAGAAATGAGATCTCAACTATTACTTTTAATTCTGAAAATTTAAACCTTAAAAATTTGAAAGTTGGATTTGATTCATTAATTTCAAAAATTGTTCGATTAGAAAACAATGAAAAAGCATATCAAAATGAAATAAGCAAGTTCCAAGAGAAAAATATCAAGCTTCAAGAGAAAAATAACAATCTTGAAGTAGAAAACAACCAACTCAAAGTAGATATTTTTTTTTTTGTTTATTTTTTTTTTTAATTTTTTTTTAAATTTATCTTTTTATTTTCCATGTTACAGTGTTCTGTTGATGCATACCAAAAAACTTTAGAAGACAAAGAAAGGAAAATAGCAAAATATTATAATGTTATTGAAAAAACACAATCCGTTTTACAGAATGCATTTCAAATAGGTAAAATTAAACTTGTGTATATATTGTAATTTTCCTAACTAATATTGAATTTTCCTTTTAGATGCTAGTTAATTACCATTGTATGAAATTATCTAGTTTGATTGAATATAAAAATTCATAATATTGAATAAAATAAAGTAACTTGGTAAACATATATAATGAAATTATTTTTCATAGTTGGCTTTACGAATAAGAAATATATTAATTTTAAATAATTAAGGTTTATTAAGGTTTAATCTACACTATTATTTATAAATTATTAAAAAGAATTTATTAAATAATGTGCGTTCTTATTAACTAATAAATCTTTACAAGAAATATAAAAGCGGCTTCAAATATAAATAAATTTTTATAATAACATATTACGCGAATAGGTGCTAATGTTAAACATATTTTATATCAATAAGGCTATTAAGTTTTAATTTACGCTGTTAATTTATTATGCTAAGTTATTATGTCATGATAAAGGTAGAAAAACGCGCTAGAATAGAGATGGTTTTCATTATTTGGTCAAGATGGTTCGATTCATTAGTACTATATTTCAAAATGAAGATTTTCCACGCTCAAATCCAAACTCTGCTAAGCTAATATATCTAAAACTTAAAAGTGAAAAAAAATATTTTAATGCACCTGAGAGATTTTTTTGGGCGTTGGTTTAAAGTTAATCTGAGCGTTTCCACATGAATACTTAATTAATTTTAACAAGCAAAAGAGTTTTTGCATAAAAATATTTTAATTATAGTAATTGCGAAAATTGCAATATACAATAATTAAATTTAGTATTTAAAATTCTAGTACGATCTTTTCTAACAATCGACTCTCTATGAACCACCTACTGGGTAGTAACAAAAAAAATTCTCCATAAAATTATAGTATAAGATAAACCATAATTTCAGTCACAACTACAACCCTAATGTAAGTTTTTCTTACTTTTTAAAAATTAGATTGTTTGATTGTCGATCTTTCATGGTCTAAGGTGGGTGCGGGTATTATGGCGAATGTGGGTATTGTGGCGAATTGAACATATAACAAGGAAACAGGATTTTTTTACTAAGCAAATCGTATTTCATCCACTAAGTAAAGTTATCGGAAATGCTGTGTTTCATATATCTTCAAAGTTTGAAACAATTTTGTTGACTTTTCATTAATCGACTTTCACGTTATACGGCTTGATGCAGAAAATTTATCTACTGCGCCAAAACATATATTGTGAAAGTCGATTAATGAAAAGTTAACCAAATCGCATCAAACTTTAAAGATATATGAAAAACAGCATTTCCGATAACTTTACTTAGTGGACGAAATACGATTTGCTTAGTAAAAATCCTACTTTGTGTAAAAAATCGTTACGTTCGTATTATGATATATTTGATGATCGTCAATCTGCATATCGTTCGCCATAATCCCCTCACGAAATTAAAAACTGTAGCTCTCTAAGTAACATTACATAATTTATATAAAACTCGATTTTTTTTTATATATAATTGTTAAGCAAGATAAAATTCGTATAAATTTAAAAAAAATTATCAAAAAACAAAAATTCTTGCTAAACTTTATTAGTAGTAAGTGTTAGCTTCGCCATAATACCCTCACTCACCTTATATAGTGATAGTGCTCATGATATATAAATCAAGATAGACGTAATTAATATGAAAAAATTTAATTAACGTAATTGTTAGAATATTTTTGAATTCGAATATATCAAACTTATTTCATTACTATGACTGAAGAATCATCTTCAATATATTGTTTTGCTCCAATAGTGAATTGCAAGTTAATGTGTCAACCAATAACAGTATTGTAAAAAACCATAATTGGTTTTGAAATATGGATTATCATACGGAAGACTTAATAAATCGAATGTTTGAAATGAACGATAAATTTAATTTATAGCTATTTTATAGATATTAGTAATATAATATTTAGCATCAAAAAAACCTGGAAACAAAAAAAATTAAAATTCTATACAGCAATAGCGATAGCGATTGAGTATTAATTATAGTTAAACTCTTCAGCCGTATAGGGAAGAAAACTTGTTTAAGGAGATTGTGAAACAATCCAGCCGTGTAAAAAATAAGATCCAATTAAAAATATTTGCTCACTAAGATACTAAGATTCAAGTTTAATGCAGTAAAAACACTTCAGCCGTGTAAACTTTCAAAGGAAAGAAAACTAGTGCTTAAGAAGCCGCATAAAAAATAAGGATCAATTAAAATATTTTCTCACTAATATTTAAGTTTAATGCAGTAAAACACTCAGCCGTATAAACCTTAAAAGAAAAAAAAAACTTGTTTAAGAAGATAGTAAAACAATCTAGCTGTGTAAAAAATAAGCACCAATTCAAAAATATTTTCTTACTAAGATTCAAGTTTAATGCAATAAAACACTTCAGCCGTGTAAACTTTAAAAGAAAAAACTTGTTTAAGGAGATAGTAAAACAATTTAGCTGTATAAAAAATAAGCACCAATTAAAAAAAAATATTTTCTTACTAAGGTTCAAGTTTAATACAATGAAACACTTCAGCCGTGTAAACTTTAAAAGAAAAAAACTGGTTTAAGGAGATTGTTAGCTGTGTAAAAAATAAGCACCAATTAAAAACATATTTTCTTGCTACGATTCAAGTTTAATACAATGAAACACTTCAGCCGTGTAAATTTTAAAAGAAAAAACCTGTTTAAGGAGATAGTCAAACAATTTAGCTATGTAAAAAATATGCACCAATTAAAAAAATATTTTCTTACTAAGATTCAAGTTTAATGCAATGAAACACTTCAGCCGTGTAAACTAAACAATTTAGCTGTGTAAAAAATAAGCACCAATCAAAAAAAAATATTTTCTTACTAAGATTCAAGTTTAATGTAGTGAAACACTTCAGCCGTGTAAACTTTAAGGAGATTGTTAGCTGTGTAAAAAATAAGCACCAATTAAAACTAAGATTCAATGCAATAAACCACTTCAGCCGTGTAAACTTAAAAGAAAGAAAACTCGTGTTTAAGGAGCCGTGTGAAAAAATATGGACCAATCAATATATTTTCTTACTAAGATTCAATGCAATAAACCACTTCAGCCGTGTAGACTTTAAAAGAAAGAAAACTAGTGTTTAAGGAGCCGTGTGAATATAGACCAATTAAAATATTTTCTCACTAAAATTCAAGTTTAATGCAGTAAAACACTTCAGCCGTGTAAACTTTAAAAGGAAAGAAATAGTGTTTAAGGAGCCGTGTAAAAAATAAGGACCAATTAATCAAGTTTAAAGCAGTAAAACTCTTCAGCTATGTAAACTTTAAAAAGAAAGAAAAATTGTTTAAGGAGATTGTGAAACAATCCAGCCGTGTAAAAAATGAATATACATATTCAAACAAGAATAGAGAGATTATTTAGGTATTTTTACATGTATTGATTGGCTAAAATGATTTTTGTACACTGTTCATATAGAATCATCCAGGGCGACCACCAAAAACGCTGTAGATCATCGTGGCGCAGCTGCAGTATCTATGTCGATCGTGGCGCAGCAGCAGTATATATATCAAATACGATCGCCGTTAACGACGAACTCTTCCAAGTTCTTCCCAACTCAATCAACCTGGATTCAACGAACCTTTCTATAACGAACTCAAAGGTTTCGAAATTTCATAATAGGTCAGTATAAAAAGACCTGTGAATTCTTATGGAACTATAGTAATTTTCTATAACGAACTTTTTTTCTTTCAGAATCAGTTCAGTTCGTTATAGAAAGAGTTGACATTATTATAAGTTATTACTTATTTAAATTATATTTTAGCGTTAGTAATCAGTTATTTGGATCATTTTTTACTTGGTAAGTTGAAGTTTATTATGTTCTTTGATGTATAATAGTATTTTTTTATAAATAATTAAATTAACTATATTATTATTACAAATATTAAATTAAAAATCTTCTGTATCATTATTCGCAACGTCCTCCGCTGTTCCTGATTCATTTGAGCATAGTAAGTACATGAGATACGGCTTTTTACTTGGAGCCCAAGTGGCTTGTCTTTTCCTCTTTTTCTCCACGGATTGTATATCTTCTTTCATCTTTACTAATCAGCTCCACTCCATCATAGCATGGACATGACACCAATTATTAGCCATTTTCTCAGTATGTATTCATTTTACTGCTTGCTCAAATAAGTGCCAATTCTCTTCTACATAATAACGGGCATCATCGTCAGGATTGTCAAGGTCATCAATATTATTAGCATATTCCAGAACATCAATAGGTGTAACTGTTATGGATGAGATACTTTCTGTGACTTCATCACTATTAAGATTTTTTATAATCAAAAAGGGAGGGTGGTCCGACGTTCAAAATTGTCTTTAAGTAGCCACCGTCGTGTACCATCAGGCATATTTATGACTTGTTTTACCAAGTGTTTACATATTAGAAAGCGATTTTCAACAAAGGCTGGACAACTACAGATCCAACGGGAGACTTGAGTAAAGTATGAACCAATTGAGTTGGCAGTTGTTTCAGTGTTGGTACGCTTTCTTTTACCCTTCCTATTTGATTGTATTTCTTTTCTCTTTTCCTCACTTGCACTTGTATATTCCCACTCCTTCTTGAAATCCTCCCACCAATATGGATTTACCGTGTCATTTAAGAGCTGTAGTAACCGATCTTTCTGTGATGGGATTACTTCATTGAATAGCATCCAAAACAGAAGATCTAATCTAGGGCTATTAAATTGTTAAAGATAAAGCCGTTTGACAACTCCCCAGTGAGCTTCGATTTTCATAGTTGTTTTTCCTATCATATGAATGATTAAAAAAAAAAAATTAAAATATATAGATACGAATTATAAAAAAAAGGTTTAAAATACTTATTCACTAATTTAAAACAGGTGATGATTAAGGTTTGAATAGTTAAACCTAAATTTATATTATAATCATTATCTGTTTTTTCATTATATAATTAAAACATTTACTATCTTTATCTAGAGGTATTGTAGGTTTTGTAGATCGAGCCCACAAACTCTATCGGCTAGGTGAATACCAATTAGTCCAAAGGTACTCCCATAATAATCGCAACTCATTGTTTACACAAAATTGA